AATCATGAAAATTGGTTTCTTGGCCATAGCACTCAAGCCTCAGATTTGAAGTGAATTGGTAGAACACGTTCTACTTCTTACCTAAACCTTAATCAGGTTACTCTGTTACTAAGATTTTCCCTAAGGCTATTTCTAACCTGTTGTCTATGTTTAAATACCTGAAAAATGATAGCATTTATTATCTTACAAATGACTCCCTGAATTGGTTTTTCAAGTATGCTTACATTGTCAGTAGAATCTATTCATAAACCTTTCCTCTTTCCCTATCTTCTGACTGTCCAAATTAACCAATCTGTAAAAACTTTGTCATCTAATAGATTTTCTTGACTTTTAGCAGTCACTCTTTATCTTTCATATAAATGAATATCATTTTCTTTTAATACCCCATGTTGCTGTCTAAAAAAGAAAACTCATTTATCTATGAAACAATTTTGCCTTCCAAAAGAATGAGCTATTGATAGTTTTTGTTAAATTATGTATCATTATTTATGGAGTTTTCCTAAGTATGTTTGCCTGCAGTCGTTAACTTTATATTGTTTGAGATTTAAAGTTTTCCATTTTGGTGATTGTTTCTAGCAAATCTTTTCATGTTTTGATTTTGCTATTTTGGTATGTGCTACCTCATAATATTTGAATGATTTGAAAAATGTTAAAAAGTCTGTATTACTGTAGTTTCAAGTTTATGCTCTTTTTCTAAAGTATTTGGACTTACCTGATAGGAAACGTGGATATTCATAAAAAGTAACTCTGACATCACTATCATCAAATCATTACTTTCTTTGTGTTTTTAAATATGTAGTTAATTTGATTTGGATTTATTTATATTTTAAGAAGTTACCATATACTTTTCTAAATGCAAATTAGGTCCTTTTACCAGTAACCATTCATTTTTAGTGCTGCTTACAGACTCTTGATAGTTATATGTAATGAATGCAGTTTCTGTTGTTATTATTTTTATTTTTAAAAGTCCCCAAAACATGATAGATAATTCACATTTACATTTAATGAATAAGGCAAAAAATTGTTCTTCAAAACTAAACTATAAATATGCAGCTAACATGTCTAAAGTATCATCTATTGTTAATTTAGCTAAATCTTGATCTTTATGTAAAAGGTCCTATATAAGTGATTCCTATCCCCAATTTTGGTAATTCTTTATTTGTTTTAAAGAGTATCACAAATTATTTTAATAGAAACATTCATTCTTAGCATGTTTCTGATGGAAGAACATAGGATATTAACACTCAATCATTTGCACACTGTAGATCTAGAAAAGGTCAAACTAAGCTGATTTTAACAGCTGCCTCAGAAACATCTTCCAGGATTATCAAATACATTTTTGAGGTACCATGAGAGAAGAGTGACATAATTATGTAGTAAAAAGCACTGGAATTAAAAATGATGCAACCAATGCTCTGAGTCCATTTTTGCAACAAACCCAAAGCAAGTCACTTTACTGAAATTTCACCCAATTTCACAATATTGTTGTGAAGACTTAGATGGACTGATTAAATGCCTAATTCTCAGTTTCTCCATGTATACAGGAAGAATAATTTGGATGCAAAGTATTCCTTTCAGGTCTAAAATTCTAATTTTTATTTTCCTAAAATATATATTGATATTTTGAAAAGTGTAAGTCCTTATTATATTTATAAAATTGTACAATTAGGCAGGAAATTGTGACCAAAAACATGACATTGTAGATTCTTTACAATGGGATGGAAGAGGAATGTGGCTGATAAGATGTAACATTCTCTCATTAGCTTCATTGGATTTAGTTTCAAAGTTTTGAAACATGCTGTACTATATTTTTACATGTTTACAATGAGGCATCAGCAAAATTTTGTAAGGCATTATATTTTCATATTCAAATATATCTACTCTAACAAAGCATACAGCTTTTTGCACTTCATAGCACAAGACCCTGACCATAATGTCCAAATATTTTTCAAGTGTTGCATTTAAAGTTTTGGGTAAATTTCTTTTACTTATTTATTTTTGGGGGGATGGTACCAGGGATCAAACTCTGGACCTTGTGCTTGTGAGGCAGGCAGCAGAACCACTGAGCTAAATCCCTGGCCCTTGGGTATATTTCTAAAAGCATTCCATAAATTATTTCTCCTGCCCCCAACCTTGGATTTTTTTATTTTTAGCTTTTATTTATTCCAGGGGCTACTGTGACTGTTAAAATTTATTTAATTGCTTATAGGCACAGCTTAAATTTCAGTCTGAAAAATGAAAAATGAAGAAAGGTAGGTCCAACAATGCCCAAACTTATATAACATTGCAAAAGAAGCTAAGTACTTGGGCCCAAAACACCTAGCTTCAATTAATGTTAACGATTATTAATGGGATATATAGACTTCTGACTTTTACTATTAGAGGTGTTCTTGAGGAAACTGGCATTTATTCAATGTTTTCTTATTTTAAAACTTGATCACAAAATGAGAATATTTGCTAAGGTAATTTATTTTCAAATACAAACTGTTACAGAATAAAAGAATGTAAAATTTAAAACTTTACTTCTCTCCCCACCATGTATCCTTCACAAGTCCGGAGATAAATGCTGTTAAGACTGGTACATATTGTTTGAAATTTTTCTTACACTCATAAATATGTACATGTATGTGTTTTTGCTTTTCTTTCTCCCGTACATACAGTTCCTTTCTATATAATGTCTTGTACCTTTGTATCTATCATTCCACATATCTTTATATGGCTTCATAATGTACCATTGTATGGCTGCATCGTAATTTAGCCAGTCCCCTTGAAGTATTTTGCTTTTAGTTATATTTCTGTGAAGATTCTTTTATATATATCTCTACATATTTTTGCTTACAGTAAATTCTAGCAGAATTGTTGACTCAGAATGTTTAGTGGATTTGTATAGTTTGATTTTGAATTAAATTGAACAGTCTATCATTTATTGGTTAGATTTTATTTTGTTTTGTTTTTGCTAACCTGTTCATAATACTTTAGATACTTTACTGTTAGGTTACTTATTTTTCTTCTATTTATTCAAATAGTTATAATTCTGAAAATTATCAGATACATCTCTCTCTATTAATATTTTCCTACCTTATCCTTTGATTCTTGTGCTGTTTTTCTTTATTTGGTTCTTTTTAACCATTCAGCAATGTTTAACTTCTTTGTACTCACCAAATTGTTTTATGCTAGGTTTTATGGACTTTGTTTCACTTTGGCTTTCCCACTCCAATATTAAAATATTACTTTTTATAGTACTTTTATAGTCATTTTGTATGCTCAGATCATTGACCAGTTTGGATTTAATTTGGTGTAAAGTGAGAAATAAGTATTCAGCTTTAAACAGTGAGTTGCCTTAAACCAGTCATGTGATGGCACATGTTCTTACCCACTAACTTGAAATGCTTCTTGAAGTCCCAAATTTCTGTACTGAGATAGGATTTTGTAAAGTCTCACATACAGATGAGACTATAATGTGTGTTCTTTCCATTGATAAATCATAGAAACTTCTACCAGCACCATCTCTTTCACTACTGCAGCTTTGTAAATTGTATCGTCTGCTAGGTTGCTTCCCATTCTTCTTTCATAATTTACTAGCTGTTTTCTGATTTAAGAATAAGGTGTGGATTTTCATTTTCAAAATTCTGTTTCTCCAATAAAGTGCTCATAGCTTTGAACATATAACTTCTGCACATTATTTGTAAAATGTATGTATAAATATTTTATTAGCCTTAAAATGATATTTTTCCTTATATTTCCAAATTGATTACTGGATTTTATATAATAAAGTTTCCAGATATACTGTTATTTGCAAATAATTTTTACCTCTCCTCTAATATTTGATAGTTCTTTCTCTTAGTAATTTATATTGTCCTAATGATTATTTCACCTAGTTTTTCAAGTTTATTTTCACAATTTATGAATTAGTAATTCTTAAAATGTTTTGTATCTGTGGCTGTATCCATTTTTTATTTTCAATATATTTATGTTTAATTTTTAGAATCAATAGTGAGAATACTTTTCAGTATTTTATAATCTTTGAAGTTAGAAACCTCCCATGCAAGTAATCTACATTTTTTTATTTCTGTCGCAGATAAAAATGAAGACCATTCTTTGAACTTTCTATACCAACATTATGAAGTCACATCTTAGCTTTTTTCTAAGCTAAATAATTTTAGTTTTGTATTATAGCTTCAAGGAACACAATTTTCTAAACTCTGTATCATCTTTTGTAATTTCTTCAGAACTTCTTTTTGCCTCAATTCTCAACATGCCTCCTTTAGGGGGAATCTTAGTCACAATTACAATGCTTATCTTTAAAAATAGGCTAACCTGCCATATAATTTAATAGTCAAAGTAACTCTTCTCTCAATAGAAATGATACTGAAAATAGAATTAAAAATAACTTTTTTGTATGGCTATGTTTAAGTTTTCTGGAACGAAGTACTGTTAACAAACAGTGTCATAGAGAATGTGTTTCAATAGTCCTGAAAATAAAGATTGTTAGTAGGCCTTTAGGGTTCCATGTTTGTCCAGAAATGCTGTTGTTTATATTTTGCTTTGATTGAGTTTTCTTGGCATTTTTGAATGAGTTCTGAGACTGGCAAAGAAAAGCAAGTTTGTAATACATATAAGGAATTTCCAAGTAAAAGAAAAATCAAGAGTTAGATACGTGTTTATGTATGTTTCTATACAGGTGTAATAATAAAATACTAATATATTTTCCAAATGAAAATTGCTTTAATAGTATATCTCAGAATGAACTTAAACTTTGTATGGTTATATCTTCAAAAATCTAGCATTTAAAGATGGTACAATTGAGTAATCTTAATACAGTAGATAATTTTTTAAAGAAAGCAATGATTTTATAAAAATTTAATTCAATTTTGTGATAAATATATTTCTTATGTAAGTATGTTAATGATTTGCCCCCACTGAAAAAAACAAATGTTTTTTTTTTTTAAATCATAAGGTATCATGGAATATTACCAATATTTTCTTTCTCGCTTTTTAAGGTCATGGAAAATGGAAGATTTGCAAAATACAAGTATTTTACTCATGTCATGATCAATAAAACAGATATGTTCATGATAACTAGACGGTAACTTGCCTTCTTTCTGTAATGTAATTCAGTTAGGAGTTAATATTATTCACCTTTTGTATCATATAGTCTCCCCGATTCCTGCTAACTCTGGTTCTCTTGCTTGGTAAAGCTGGTTCCCAAGACATTACATAAATTTATGTTTAGTTTTGTGCATGCATACAGATAAACAGTGGTACACAAGCATAAATTGGATATTTTAGCATTTGCTTCATTTAATTTAGTGAATACAGAAATTCTACAAATTGGCCTCTCAAAGGCAAAGTTCCCCTTCTGTGAAAAAGTATACAACTTCAGGTTATATCAAGAGTCCTCTAATGGTAGCTATTCATTAGAGTATACATAGATTCACATACATGAGTATACCAATGGAAACGAGGTAATATTTTATATGAGTACTCCAAGCTACAGCAGCATCTTCAGATAGACCTACAGACAATGGGAGGGTAGGTGCAAAGATACAGTGACACAGCCTTGTTCCACTGGGCCTGTGATTAAGGATTGGTGAAAGGGGCTGAGGGACAGAAGATTGAGATGAGAGGTATCATCCCTTATTAGCTTTCTTCATTTGCATTTAGGCCAGGAGACAGCTATTGCTTTCACACAATCCCTTAAGTTAAAGTATGTGTCATTTAAAAGAAAACTCTGGTTGCACTTTAATTGATGTTTTAACCACAAAGTGAAATAGTGAAAAGCTTTTGAAAGAATTAAATAGAATTATTATAAACAGAATCCATCTTCATTTCTTAATTTGTCCCCAAAAAATAGAACAAGTAATTTAAAAACTGAAGACTTTTTTAAAAATGTCACTCTGAAGCTGGGTGTGGTGCGATAATGCCAGCACTTGGAAAGCTGAGGCAGAAGTATCTCTCAAGGCCAGCCTGAACTGCATAGCAGGTCCTGTCTGAAAAAAAAAAAAAAAACATGGCTGGGGATTTAGTTCACTGGCACCACACCTGCCTCACAAGGGCAAGGTCCTGAGTGCGATCTCTGGTACCAAAAAATAAAGTAAAATTGAAAATTATAAAGCTGAGTAGTGGACTCTAGGAGACTGAGGAAGACTGAGATCACAAATTCAAGCCAACCCTGGACAGCATAGCAATTGTGAGACTGACTCAAAATAATTTTAAAAAGGGCTGGAAATGTAATTCAGAGCAAAGGCCCTGAGTTCAATCCTAGTACCCAAAAACAAAAAAAGGAAGAATGATAGAACTTTATTTGGTCTAAAAAACCCATGACTCTTCAATATGTTGAACCTGTTCAAGGTGGTTACAAAAGGCTGGGAAACGGTACATGGAGCCTTAATAATAAGACATTTATTCTGAAATGTTAACTACATCAAGATCCCTAAATGTTAACCAGTCGAGCCTATACATGTTTTTCTCTTACAAAGTATTTCCTATGTTTGACTTTAAAAGTGCTACAATTTTTCTAATATATTATGCTGCAGATTTCCCACTAAGCATTACATTAACTACATCCCAAAAATTTTATAGTTTAATTCTCATTCTGTTCAAAGTATTTTCTAATCTCTTTTAAGATTCTTTGATGTGTGGATTATTTTAGTAATATCTTAATTTCTAAGCATTTGGAAATAGTTCCACTATGATCTGAGAATATACTTTCATGATTTCTGTACCTTTAGACTCATATTTTTATAACCAAGAATGAAGTTTGTCTAGGTGAACATAGTGTGCATTTGCAAAAAGACATGTATTCTGTACTACTAGATACAAGTCCTTCAATTTTTAATTGAATTTTTTCCTCCCTGCCCCCAAAATAGTGGTGTATTGTTTGTAACAAAGGGAACATTTGGACAACTTACATGTGAGTGGCAGTACAGTTTCGATGAATTTACCAAAGAACCATTCATTGTTCATGAAAGAAGATTGCGCATTGAAGCAAAGGTACATTTAATAGATTGTTTTGTAAACTTGGAAGTGAAGGCACTGCATTTTATGTAATCACCTTTATTTTGTAATGTTTCTGTTTTATAAATAAAAGTTGCTTTGACTTGGCATCGTTTTTCCTTTACTCTTATTCAGGCTTAAAGAGAAAAGACTGGCTAAGAATAAAAGTGCTACTTTCTGTGCTATTACATTGACAGTAGCATTCTAGGTCCTTATTTTGTATTCAGTAACAGAACCCTACCTTTTCCAAACATGAAAAACTGATCTATCCCACAGAGCTTCCTTGGTTATTTTCCTTTTTTTTTTAATCTAAATATAATATTTCCTCTAATTTCCTTCACTTATTCCCTTCTTGCCTTTTTTTTTTTTAACTTTGGTTCAGCAATCTTTTTTTTTTTTTTAATAAAAGAAACTGATTTCTTCTGTAGTCCATATTTGCATGGCTATTTGGTTTACAGAAATTGCTAAATTAGTAAAACCACCATCTTTCTTCTGTGGCCCTCTCCATAGTACACCATCCTTGGTAGTCCCATTTTGCTTTCTGTTTGCCCCTCCAGTCTGTAATGTCTGCTGTTATACAGTTCTCCCCAACAGATACCTCAAATACCAAAGGAGTGGAGGAAAATCGTTAGGTGGACCCACTCTGATATCTTTGATTTCAAACTACATTCTTGTTGCATGACTAATTTACGCTGTCACAAGTGCATACATGCATACAACATGTATATATTATCTTTGATCTGGCTTCAGTCGGGATTTCATGGCCATACATTAAGAATTGTCTGAGTTAATTTTGGAGAGGAAATATAGCAGCACTACTCCCAGATTTACCTCCTCCCATTTTCTGTTTAACTCTTTCTGGCCTTAGGAAGTAAAATCTAATCATAAGCTTTCTAACTTAGGTTTGGTGATAGTGGGTATGTTAAAATATAGCACTTTGTTTTGATTCTTCTTGGTGACTCTTGGCTTCTTTAAGGTGCATGATTTGTGTATGGCATTTGTTTGTTGTATTTTTACAACTGCATCTTCTTTCTAATGAAGTTATGTATTTTTTTTTAGGAACGGGTGAAGTCTGTATTCCACGCCAGAGAGTTTGGAAAAATAATTAACTTCAAGACCCCAGAGGATGCTAGGGTAAATATAATAAATCTTTTCTTTATTGTTTTTTTCATTGAGTTTATTGGTACATTTTAGGTATACAGTACGGTTACATTCATTATTGGGATCTTGTACCTTGACATGACAGGTCTTGGTTCTCATTTTTTCCCCTTGTCCCCGCCCTCCCTTCACCCCCTCCTCCCCTCCCCATTTGCAAACACTTTTTTTCCATTTTTTTATTTTCTCATATTTTTTTCTTTTCCCTTATTAGCTTGCCCATACCCTTCCCACTTTCTCTACACCTTTAGCTCTTTCGTCCTATTTTACATTGTCAATTATAACATTAGGATCTTACGTACTATTATAGTTTTTCACACCAGAGAAACTATTCAGTATTTACGCATGTGTGACTTATTTATTTCACTTAGAAGTATATCCTCAATATGTATCCATTTTCCTATGAATGAATCTAATTTCTCATTCTTTATGGCTGAGTAATATTCCATTTTATAGAAAAACCACATCTTCTTTATCCATTCTCCAACTGATGGGCAAATGGGCTGTTTCCAAGTTTTAGCTATTATAAACTGTGCTTCTCTAAATATAGGTGTGCATATATCACTATGATATGATTCTTTTAAATCTTTTGGAAAGATACCCCGCAGAGGAAAGATGGCTGGGTCAAATGGAGCCTCTAGTCCCAGCTCTTTGAGGTATCTCCATATTGATTTCCATAGTGGTTGCACCAGTCTGCACTCCTACCAACAATGGAGAAGGGTTCCTTTCTCCCCAAAACCCCGCTAACATTTGTTATTGTTTGATTTCTTGATAGCAGCCATTCTTTGTGGGGTGAGGTGGAATCTCAGTGTTGTTTTCATCTGCATCTCTCAAATGACCAGTGATGTGGAACATTTTTTCATATGTTTACTTGCTGCTTTTACTTCTTTGTCTGAGAAATGTCTGTTCACTTCAGTTGCCCATTTTTGAATTGGGTCTTTATATCTGGGGGGCTGATTGTTTTGAATTCTTTATGTATTCTGGATAAGAGCCCTTTGAGGAGCAGCTGGTAAAAATTTTTTCCCACTTTGTAGGTTGTCTCTTAGTTCTGTTGATGGTTTCTTTTGCAGTGCAGAAGCTTTTTAATAAGATGAGATCCCAGTTGTTGATTCTTTGTGCTAGTTGCTGTGCTACTGAGAATTTGTACATAAAGTCTTTTCCTATGCCAGTGTCTTCAAGAGTTCTGCCTAACTTATCTTCCAGCAAGTTTAGTGTTTCTGTTTTATTATTTAGATCTTTAATCCACTTGGATTTTAATTTAGTGCATGGTGAAAGATAATGGTCTAGTTTTAACCTTTGGCAGGTTGAAATCCAGTTTTTCTAACACCATTTATTAAAGAGACTATCTTGCCTCCAGTGAGGATGCTCGGCTCCTTTGTCAAAGATGAGGTAGCTGAGTGCGTCTGGAGTTGTTTTTATATCTTCCAATATGTTCCACTGATCCTCAGGTCTGTTTCTTTGCCAGTACCATGTTATTTTTATCACAATGGCTTTGTAGTATCAAATTGGGAATTGTTAGACCCACTGCTATAACTGTTGCCTAGGATGGCTTTTGCTATTCTAGGTCTCTTCTGGTTCCAAATGAATTTTTGGATTCTTTTTTCTAGTTCTGTGAAATATAGTGTTGGAATTTCAATTGGCATTGCATTGAATCTGTATAGCACTTTTGGTAGTATGGCCATTTTCACTATGTTGATTCTTCCTACCGAGGAGCAGGGGATGTCTTTCCATTTTCTTATATCCTCTTCGATCTCTTTTTTCAGAGTGCTGTAGTTTTCGCTGTAGAGGTCTTCTGCTTCTTTCATTAGATTGATTCCTAGACACTTCATTTTTTGGGATGCTATTGTGAAAGGAATTGTTTCCCTAATTTCTCTCTCAGAGTCTGTTATTTGTGTACAAGAAGGCTTTTGATTTTCGAGTGTTGACCTTGTATCCAGCTACTCTGCTAAAAGTTTCAATTAAGTCTAGAAGTTTTTGGTGGAATTTTTTGGATCTTCAATGTAGAGTATCATATCGTCAGCAAATAATGACAGTTTAACTTCTTCCTTTCCTATCTTTATTGCTTTAATTTCTTTCTCTTGTCTAATTGCTATGGCTAATGTTTCTAGAACTATATCGAAGAGGAGTGGTGACAGTGGGCATCCTTGTCTTGTTCCTGATTTTAACGTGAAAGTTTTCAGTTTTTGGCCATTTAATATGATGTTGGCTGTTGGTTTTTCATAGATAGCCTTTATTAAGTTGAGATATAGACCATCTATTACAGTGTTTTGCAGGGTTTTTATCATGAACAGGTGTTGAATTTTGTCAAATGCTTTTTCTGCATCTATCTAGAGGATCATATGGTTTTTGTCCTTGACTCTGTTAATATATTAATGTGTTACATTAATTGACTTCCGTATATTGAACCATCCTCACATCCCTGGTATAAATCCGACTTGGTCAGGATGTATGATCTTCTTGATGATCCTCTGTATTCTGTTTGCTAGTATCTTATTAAGGATTTTTGCATCTATATTCATTAAGGAGATTGGCCTGTAGTTCTCTTTTTTAGTTGAGTCTTTCCCTGGTTTGGGAATCAAAGTGATACTTGCTTCCAGGAATGAATTTGGAAGTATTGCTTCCCCTTCAATTTCATTGAAAAATTTAAAGAGTAGTGGCAGTAGTTCTCTAAATATCTTGTAAAATTCAGCAGTGAATCCATCAAGACCTGGGCTTTTCTTTGTTGGTAAACTTTTAATTACATTTTCAATTTTACTGATTGTAATTGTGGTGTTTAAAATTTTTTTATCTTCTTCAACTTGGTAATTCATAAGTATCTAGAAGTGTGTCCATTTCTTCTATGTTTTCCATTTTATTAGAGTACAGGTTCTTAAAGTAGGTGTTGACTGTCCTCTGAATTTCTGTTGGATCTGTTGTGACTTCACCTTTTTCATTCCTAATTGCATGAATCTGAGCTTTTTCTTTCCTTTTTTTGATAGGTTAGCTAAGGGTTTATCAGTTTTATTTATTCTTTCAAAAAACCAACTCTTTGATTCATTTATTTTTTTGTATTGTTTTCTCAGTTTCCATTGCATTGATTTCTCCTCTAATCTTTATAATTTCCTCTCTTGTACGAGCTTTGGGTTTTTCTTGCTCTTGTTTTTCTAAGAGTCTAAGATTCATCATTAGGTTATTTATTTGAGCTCGCCTTTTTCCTAGTGTGGGCGTTCAGTGCTATGGGTTTTCCACCATAGAACTGCTTTCATTGTGTCCCATAGATTCCTGTATGTTGTATTCGCATTATCATTTATTTGTAAAAACTGTCTAATTTCTTCTTTAATTTCCTCTGTGACCTATTGATTGTTCAGGAGAGTGTTGTTCAATTTCCATGTGTTTGTGAAGTTCCTACGGTTTCTTATTCTATTGAACTCCAGCTTGATTGCACTATGATCTGATAATATACAGGGGATAACTTTGATTCCTTTGCATTTATTCAAACCTGTTCTATGAGCTAGTATGTGGTCTATCTTGGAGAATGAGCCATGTGCAGCCAAAAAGAATATATATTCTGATTTTGTGGGGTGAAACACTCTATAGATGTCTATTAAGTCAATATATGTTCAAAAGCTTGGTTCAGTTCTAGTATTTCATTGTTGATTTTTTGCCTAGATAAACTGTCTATTTGTGATACTGGGGTATTTAGATCCCCCACTACAATTGTATTAGTGCTTATTTGGTTTTTCATGTTACTTAATATTTGTTTTATATAGTTGGGGGCATTAATATTTGGTGCATATATGTTTATGAAATTCACCAATCAAGAGAAATAGTCTGGCAGAATGGATTAAGAAGCAAAATCCAACAATATGTTCTATACAAGAAACACACCTAGTGCAAAAAGAAGCCCATAGACTGAAAGTGAAAGGATGGAAAACAATTCTCCACAAGACAGGAGCCCAGAAAAAAGCAGGGGTAGCAATCTTATTCTCAGACAAAGTAAATTTCAAACCAAAACTGATTGAGAGACAAAGAAGGCCACTACATCCTTGTAAAGGGAACAATTCAATGAATGTTTTACTTAAACCAGGTAGGATCTTCTCACTTCAAAACCATGTAAATGAACTGTTTTTTGTTTAAGCAGGTAAGTTTTGTTTGAGATTTTTGTTTTCCTGTTTTGACAGTTTCTAGTATATGTGACTAGATCATATCTGCCCCCAGACATTTTTTTACTAGATTCAACATTTGCTTATTTTTCAAATCAAATTGCTCTTTTATATCCTAGAATATTTTATTTTTCAAAGTCAACAAATTGTTCCATTCGAATGTTAATTAGCTCTAGCAGAGGAAGTATGGCCCCATATTGTTGATTTCTCTACTATATACAACCATAGTGATTTAACAACAACAACAAAAAAAACAATTACCATGCCATGGCAGAGAGACAGCGGGAGCCACACTTGTAGTCAGAAAGTCCTGATTCTGTCTTTCTTGGTGAGGGAATCTTGAGGAAAATCACTTAGCCTTGCTTTCTTCAAAATGGGAGTGATGTGAATTGAAAAGCCCTAATGCACTTCAAAGATTATTGCAATTACCAGAACATGCACTGACAGGAAAATGAAGACTGTAACCGCAGTGATCATAAAACAAAGATGCTGCTCCTAACATTGCATTGTACTTACTATGTTGGAAAATTAGAGGAGAGTACCTGACTTCTTTACTTGATCCCTGGGCCAACAGTAGAAAATGGGAATGCATTACAAAGAGAAGCAACCAAATGTATTTGTCACTTGGAAGAGCAAGATGGCGCAGGATAACAACATAATGTTTTTAGGCTGCTTTTTTTTTTCATGTTGCTGAAGGACATTACCACTTATTTTGGTTTCTCTGTAATAAATTTTCCATTCATTTCCTGTCACAATTTGACATTATTCCAGACAGTTTTAATTCTCTTACTGTCAGAGACATGCAGAGAAAGTTACTGAGCTCAATTTTCTTTCTCT